CTGACTGACTCTGGATATCATTATCAAGTGTAATGTTGCCATAACTTGTTGGTTTGTAAGTTTATATTTCCCTTTTTCTCCCCCCACTGATTTGTTTAAAGACTTCTATACACAATAAAGAACAGTGCAGTGCAGAAACAGATCCTTCAGCCTACCCATATTGCACCATCTCACGGTGCCTGTCTAAGCTAAGACTTTTTGCCTCTTCTCTGCCCAAATCCCTCTATTCTCTGCCTATTCACATCTGTCAAGATGCCCCTTAAGTGTTGCTATTGTGTCTGCCTGCACTACCTCCTCTGGCAGTGCATTGCAAGCACTTATCACTGTTTAAAAACCTGCCTCTCCCATAGAACAAAGAACAAATAACAAAGAAAATTACAGCACAGGAACAGGCCCTTCGGCCCTCCAAGCCTGCGCCAATCCAGATCCTCTATCTAAATCTGTTGCCTATTTTCCAAGGATCTGTATCCCTCTGCTCCCTGCCCATTCACGTATCTGTCTAGATACATCTTGAGTGATGCTATCACGCCCGCCTCTACCACCTCCGCTGGCCATAAAGAACTTTCCATGCATATCTCCTTTTAACTTTTTCCCTCTCACCTTGAAATCGTGACTCCTAGTAATTGAGTCCCCCACTCTGGGAAAAAGCTTCCTGCTATCCACCCTGTCTATACCTCTCATGATTTTGTAGACCTCAATCAAGTCCGCCCTCAACCTCTCTTCATAATGTAAATGTAAATAATCCTAATCTACTCAACCTCTCTTCATAGCTAGCGCCCTCCATACCAGGCAACATCCTGGTGAACCTCCTCTGCACCCTCTCCAAAGCATCCACATCCTTTTGTTAATGTGGCGACCGGAACTGTACGCAGTTTTCCAAATGTGGTCGAACCAAAGTCCTATACAACTGTAACATGACCTGCCAACTCTTGTACTCAATACCCCGTCCGATGAATGAAAGCATGCCGTATGCCTTCTTGACCACTCTATCCACCTGTGTTTCCACCTTCAGGGTACAATGGACCTGAACACCCAGATCCCTCTGTGCATCAATTTTCCCCAGGGCGTTTCCATTTATCGTATAGTTCGCTCTTGAATTGGATGTTCCAAAACGCATCACCTCGCATTTGCCTGGATTGAACTCCATCTGCCATTTCTCCGCCCAACTCTCCAATCTATCTCTTCTGCTGCATTCTCCGACAGTCCCCTTCACTATCTGCTACTCCACCAATCTTAGTGTCATCTGCAAACTTGCTAATCAGACCATCTGTACCTTCCTCCAGATCATTTATGTATATTACAAACAGTGGCCCCAACACAGATCCCTGTGGAACACCACTGGTCACAGTTCTCCATTTTGAGAAACTCCCTTCCACTACAACTCTGTCTCCTGTTGCCCAGCCAGTTCTCTATCCATCTAGCTAGTATACCCTGGACCCCATGCGACTTCACTTTCTCCATCAGCCTACCATGGGGAACATTATCAAACACCTTACTGAAGTCCATGTATATGACATCTACAGCCCTTCCCTCATCTATCAACTTTGTCACTTCCTCAAAGAATTCTATCAAGTTGGTAAGACATGACCTTCCCTGCACAAAACCATGCTGCCTATCACTAATAAGCCCATTTTCTTCCAAATGTAAATAGATCCTACCCCTCAGTATCTTCTCCAGCAGCTTCCTCACCACTGACGTCAGGCTCACCGGTCTATAATTACCTGGATTATTCTTGCTACCCATCTTAAACAAGGGGACAACATTAGCAATTCTCCAGTCCTCCGGGACCTCACCCGTGCTTAAGGATGCTGCAAAGATATCTGTTAAGACCCCAGCTATTTCCCCTCTCGCTTCCCTCAGTAACCTGGAATAGATCCCATCCAGACCTAGGGACTTGTCCACCCTAATGCCTTTTAGAATACCCAACACTTCCCCCATCCTTATGCTGACTTGACCTACAGTAATCAAACACCTATCCCTAACCTCAACGTCCGCCGTGCCCCTCTCCTCAGTGAATACTGACGCAAAGTACTCATTAAGAATCTCACTCATTTTCTTTGACTCCTCGCATAACTTCCCTCTTTTGTCCTTGAGTTGGCCAACCCTTTCTCTAGTTACCCTCTTACACCTTATGTATGAATAAAAGGCTTTGGGATTTTCCTTAACCCTGTTTGCTAAAGATATTTCATGACCCCTTTTAGCCCTCTTAATTCCTCATTTCAGATTGGTCCTACTTTCCTGATATTCTTCCAAAGCTTCGTCTGTTTTCAGTCGCCGAGACGTTATGTATGCTTCCTTTTTCCTCTTTGCTAGTCTCACAATTTCACCTGTCATCCATGGTTCCCTAATCTTGCCCTTTCTATCCCTCATTTTCACAGGGACATGTCTGTCCTGCACTCTAATCAACGTCTCTTTAAAAGCCTCCCACATATCAAATGTGGATTTACCCTCAAACAGCTGCTCCCAATCCACATTCTCCAGCTCGTGCCGAATTTTGCTATAGTTGGCCTTCCCCCAATTCAGTACTCTTCCTTTAGGACCACTCTCGTCTTTGTCCATCAGTATTATAAAACTTACAGAATTGTGATCATTATTCCCAAAGTAATCCCCTACTGAAACTTCAACCATCTGGCCGGGCTCATTACCCAACACCAGGTCCAGTATGGGCCCTTCCTGAGTTGGACTATTTATATACTGCTCCATAAAACCCTCCTGGATGCTCCTTATAAATTCTGCTCCATCTAAACCCCTAACACTAAGTGAATCCCAGTCAATGCTGAGAAAATTAAAATCTCCCATCACCACCACCGTGTTGCTCCTACATCTTTCCATAATCTGTCTACATATTTGTGCCTCTATCTCACACTCGCTGTTGGGAGGCCTGTAGTACAGCCCCAACATTGTTACCGCACCCTTCCTATTTCTGACCTCTGCCCATATTGCCTCACGGCTCGAGTCCCCCATAGTGCCCTCTTTCAGCACAGCTGTGATATCCTTTTTGACCAGTAATGCAACTCCTCCACCCCTTTTACCTCTTTCTCTATCCCGCCTGAAGCATCTATATCCTGGGATATTTAGTTGCCAATCTCCTTTAAAAAAAACTTATCCCCTTTTACCTATGTCTCCTAGTAATTGACATTTCTACTCTGGGAAAAAGACACTGAATATCCATTCTATTCATGGATGTCAATTTTGTAAGCTTCTATCAGGTCGCCCCTCACCCTTCAATGATCAAGTGAAAACAACCAAGTCTTTCCAATCTCTCTCATACTTAATACTGTCCAAATGAGACAACATCCTGGTAAACATTTTCTGTTTCCTCTCCAAAGTCTCCACAACCTTCTGGTAGTGTGGCAGCCAGACTGTACACAATATTCAAATGTGGCCTAACTAAAGTTCTACAACTGCAACACGACTTGCCAATTTTTTTATCTTCTATACCCTGACCAATGAAGGCAAGCATGCCACATGCTTCCTTGACTACCTTATGTACTGTGTTGTCACTTCCATGGAACTGTCGATCTGTATGCCTAGACTCCTCTGTATGTTGATGCCATTAAGAGTTCTGACATTTACTGTATACTTGCAGCCTGCATTAGATCTCCCAAAATGCATCACCTTTCATTTGTCAGGATTAAACTTCATCTGCCATTTCTCCATCCAAGTCTGCAGTCTATATTCTGCTGTATCCTCCAGTAATTGTCCTTAGAATCCGCAGTTCCCCCAATTTGTCATCTGCAAATTTACTGATCAGATCACTTACAATCTTCTCCAAATCATTTACACATATTACAAACAATAGGGGTGTCAGCACTGATCCCTACAGAATATCACTGGTCACAGGTGTCCAATCTGAAAACCAGTTTTCCACTGCTACTCTCTTCTATAAGTAAGCCAGTTTTGTGTCCATCTTAACAGCTCACCACAGGTCCCATGTGACTTTTTGTATCAGCTTGCCATGAAGGACTTTGTCAAAGGCCTTGCTAAAATCCATATTGACAACAATGAAGGCAGAGTGGTCAATCATCTGTGTCACTCCATAAAAAACTCAATCAAGATTGTGAGACACAACCTTTTCTGCACAAAGCCATGCTGCCTATTGCTAAAATAGCCATAGTTATTGGATTCTCAGGACACTGGTCGCAATTTAAATGAAGCCTATTTGTCTGGAACAATTCCCTTCTCTCATAGTATTAGTGCTAGCACCTCATGAACTGAAATCCATTCCTTTCACACTAATCTTTCAATCACACATTCAATAAAGTCCTTGACTTTATTTACATCATTACCACTTGCAGCATGAAAAGGTTCTGCATCATACCCCTTTGCATCTCTTGCCCAAAACCCTAATCTGTCTCTCTTCGACTTTATGCTATCAACTAATACAAAGAGCTCTTCTTTGTTACATTTTTCTAAACCTTTTGCAACCTTCTACACATCTAACAAATCACCACTTGATCCTATTGCCCCAAGGTTGGCAACTTTAGCTTCTTCAACCCAATTTTATGTGAGTATTAGGGGCAAGAGGGTAGTTAGAAAATGGGTGGGTCTCCTCAAGGAGAGAGGAGGGAGTTTATACATGGAGCCAGAGGAAATCACAGAGCAGGTTTCTCCAAACACATTAACACCAACCACAGTGACTATACCTGAATAAAATCCAACAGATACATCTTAAGCACACAGTCTTACCTGTGTAGACAGTAACAGGGTGATCATGTCCAAGCACACATTCACAAAATGACTGTGAGCAGACATTCATTCAGTCACAAGTTTATTGTAGCTAAACACAGTCATAGCGACTGTACCTGAATCAGTGTCAGCCACAATGCCTAAGCCTTCTTGGAGTATGGATTCGTAGAGTATCTGCATCTAAATATATTGCTTCAGAGTGACTGTTTTGTGAACATAGTGAGCACATACATAGCAAGTAATACAGAGCTAAGAAACATCATGAATGGTCATCTGTTCAAACTAATCTTTTTGTTTTATTCCCACATTAGGAGTATCCGATGTCTTCGGAACATTATCCACTGGAATCTGATTTCCACTTTTATCCTACGTAATGCCACCTGGTTTGTGCTACAGAAGATTGATCCCAGGATTCATGCAAGTAATAAGGTTTGTCATGTTGCACATCGCAGGGAGTTCACCTCGGCAGAATCCCTTGATGGATGACTGCGGGACTCTATTTTCTTTGGTTTTTGGGCAGCATGGTGGCTCAGTGGTTAGCACTGCTGCCTCACAGCGCCAGGGATCTGTGTTCGATTCCACCCTTGGTTAGCTGTCTGAGAGGAGTTTGCACGTTCTCCCCATATCTGTGTAGGTTTCCTCTGGTTTCCTCCTGCAGTGCGAAAATGTGCAGGTTGGTTGAATTGGCCGTGAGTAACATGGGGATGGTGTAAGGGATAGGTCAAGGTGGAATGTTCTTTGCAGGGTTGGTGTGGACCTGATGGGCTGAATGACCCGCTTCCACACTCAGGATCCTATGATTATGGCAGGCCACAGCATAGGAAAGTTGCGGGTGGGAAAGAAAGAGATCTGGGGGAGGGCGTGTGAGCAGATGTATACAGAGCAGTGATGTCCTAAGATAAGATTTGCTTTCCTGAAATATATTCAGGGGAGTTTCTTGTGTCAACATGTGAAAGGCCCAACAAGGGATGGCGCAGTGCTGGTTCTGGTTCTAGGGAAAAGCTGGGCAAGTGTTCGATATGGCAGTGGGGGAACATTTTAGCGTTAATGACCACAACACAGTACGGGTTAAATTTGTTATGGACAAGGAAAAAGATGGCCAGCAAAAGATGGCTTTGTTGGGAGGTGGGGGGGTAGGTGGCAGATTTTATTTAATAAGCAGGTCTGGTCAAAGTTGACTAGCAACAGCTCCTTGTGGGTACATCTACAGCAGAGTAGTGGGGGTCATTCAAAAAGGAGCTGGGGAGAGTACAGCTCTGACAAGTACTCTTTAGGGAGAAACATGGCAGCAATAATGGCTAGGACAATTCATGGATGAGGAAGAGGAAAAGGAAAAGACTTTTAGCAAGTTCAGAGGGAACAATTCAGCTGCTGTCCTAGAGGAATATAGGAAGTGCAAGAGGGAATTTCAGTGAGCAATTAGAAGAGCAAAAAGGGTACATGAGAAAGGACTTGTGAACAGGATTACGGAGAATATTAAGATGTTTTATAAATACATTAAAGGGAAGAGTTTAACCAGGGAAAAAGTAGGGCCTATCAGGGCAGCAACGTGTGCTGTGAGGAGGATGCTAAGAGGCTGCAGGGTGACTTGGATAGACTGGCTGAGTGGACAAATACTTGGCAAATGCAATATCATGTGGATAAATGTGAGGTTATCCACTTTGATAACAAAAACAGGGAGGCAGGTTATTATTTGAATGGTGGCAGATTAGGAAAAGGTGAGTTGCAGTGAGACTTGGGTGTCATGGTGGAACAGCCGCTGAAGGTTGGCATGCAGTTACAGCAGGCAGTGAGGAAAGCTAATGGCATGCTGGCCTTCATAACGAGAGTATAGGAGTAAGGATGTCTTGCTGCAGTTATACAGGGCCTTCATGAGGCCACACTGAGTATTGTGTGCAGCTTTGGCCTCGTGGCATGAGGAAAGAAATTCTTGCCAAGAGGGAGTCCAGAAAAGGTTCACAAGACTGATTCCTGGGATTGCAGGACTGACATATGAGGAAAGACTGGATGGACGGTTTGTATTTGCTGAAATTTAGAAAAATAAGGAGGGAATCTCGGGAACATAATCCTGATGCGACTGGACAGGCCAGATGCAGGAAGAATATTCCCAATGTTGCGAAGTCCAGAACTAGGGGATTGCAGTCTAACAATAAGGGGTAAGCCATTCAGGACTGAGATGAGGAAGAATTTCTTCACAGAACTATGAGCCTGTGGAATTCTCTACCACAGAAAGCCGTTAGGGCCAACGCTAGATATACCCAAGAGGGAGCTGGATGTAGACCTTGCAGCTAAAAGGGTCAAGGAATATGGAGAGAAAGCAGGAATGAGATACTGAAATTAGATGATCAGCCACGATAGAATTGGATGGTGGTGCAGGCTCGAAGGGCTGAATGGCAGACTCCTGCGCCTATTTTTATGTTTCTACGTTTCTACTAGGGACCAAAGTACAACCTATGTGTGAAGACACAGGATATTGGAAGGGTGTCAAATGAATACTTATCTTTAGTCTTCACTTTGGAAGAGGAGAAGGTAGGTATGAAATTCAGGGAGAGGGACTGTGAGGAACTTGCAAAGTTAGACACAGGAAATGGGGAAGTGCTGGAGGCTCTGTTTGGCTAAAAAACAGACAAATCCCTTGGCCCAGATGAATTACATCCCAGGCTGGTGTGGGAGGTGACGCAAGAAATTGCAGGGGCTCTGACAAATTTTTTAATTTCTCTCTGGGCATGGAGCAAGTGTTAGAGGACTGGAAGAAGGCTAATGTGTTTCCACTTTTCAGGAAGCACGGTAGAGGTGAATCAGGAAACTGTAGACCAGTGACTCTCACCGCAGTAGGGAAACTATTGGAGAAAATTCTGAAGATGTGAATTAATAACCCATGCCTTTCCAAGTGAGTAATTAGTGATAGTCAGCATGGCTTTGTCACAGGGAGATCATGCCTAACAAATTTGTCAGAAATTTTTGAAAATGTGATCAGCTGTGTGGATGAAGCAAGTTCAGATGATGTAATTTAGATAGATTTTAGCCAAGCATTTGACAAGGTCCCACATGTGATACTGATTGAGATTGAGAGAAGAAACTGACTTAGTAATAGAACACAAAGGGTAATGGCCAAAGGTTATTTGAGTGACTACAGGCTGGTGTATAGTAGTGTGCCACAAGGATTGGTACTGGAACCCTTATTGTCTGTTATGTACATAAATGATATGGATGAAAGTGTGGGAAAAATGTTAAGCAGGTTTGTAGATGACACCTGACGAAGATGGTTGTAGATTGCAGGAAAACATAGATGAGTTGGTCTGATGGCAGTGGCAAATGGCATTTAACCAGAGTGCAAGGTGATGCACTTTGGAAGAAACAAGATGAGAGTGTACTTAATGAATGGCAGGACAGTGGGTAGCTTAGAGGAAGAGAGGGATCTTGGAGTAATTATTCACAGCTCTCTGAAGGTGGCAGAGTAAGTGAATAGGATAGTTAAGCTGGCATATGGGACACTTGCTTTCAGCAGTCGTGGCTTAGAATATAAAAGCAAAGAGGTAATGTTGGAGTTGTACAGAGCATTGGTTAGGCCACAGATGGAGTACTGTGTACAGTCCTGGTCACCACTACAGGAGGGATGTGATGGCACTGGAGTGGCTATAGAGGAGGCTCACCAGCATGTTGCCTGAGATGAAGAAATTGAGCTTTATGGACAGACTAGATTGGCTTGGATTGTTTTCTCTAGAGCAGAGAAGACTGAGGGGGGACATGTTTGAGGTGTACAAGAATATGACTGGTATGGACATGGTGAATAGAGAGCAGCCTTGGTTGAGCGGTCAATCATGGGGACATAGTTTTGAGGTTCAGAGGGGATTTGAGAAAAAAAAAATTCATAGAATCATTCGGCCCATCAAGCCCACATCAGCCCTCTAAAGACCATCCCACCCAGACCCACACCCACACCCTTGCCTATAACCCTGCATTCCCCATGGCCGACCCACTAAATCTGCACATCTTTTGGACTCTGGAAGGAAATCCACACAGACAGGGGGAGAATATGCAAACTCCACACAGTCATCCAAGAGTGGTATTGAACCCGGTTTCCAGGCGATGTGAGGCAGCAGTGTCACCCTATTTTCACTGAGGGGATGGTGGGATTCTGGAATGCACTACCTGGGAAGATAGTGAAGACCAGAAACCTTACAACTTTTAAAAATATTTGGATGAACACTTGAAATATCATAACATTTAAGGATATGGAGCAAGTGCATGAAATTAGGATTAGCACACTTTTAGTGGTGATTATGTCGTTTAGACTTGATGGGCCAAAAGGTCTTTTCTGCACTGTCTGACTGATTCTGTTTGGTAACTATGTCTTTTGATTAGTGATAGCGATAAAGGTTTGCAACTGAGTATTTTTCTTCTAGTAAATGTTAATAACTAATCCCTCTTTGGGAAAGTAGGTAGCCAGTGATTGATTGTTAATAGGGTGATTGAGGAACCAATAGTTATTAACCATCTCTATGAACAAAAGGTAATCATGTTAATTGATTTTTATTTGTCTCCCATTTCAGGTCTGGTGCCGATTGGTCACAGCTGTTTATAATTACTTTTGTGTGACTAATTTCTTCTGGATGTTTGGTGAGGGCTGCTACCTCCACACAGCAATTGTCCTGACCTACTCCACAAATAAACTGCGCAAATGGATGTTCCTCTGCATTGGCTGGTGTGAGTTTTTGACTTCCTACAGCTTGGGCTTTGCATATGCTCACATCTGGGGCCATAAGATCAGAAATAACCTTGTGAATTTCTGAACATTCTGATAAGCTGAACAATCTGGTGCTGTGAGGTATTCCCAGCTCAAGTTGAGACCAGCTTATCAGTGGAATCAGGAGTTTAAGAATGCTGAATGGTGTTTAGTTTTAATAATGAACCCAGAAAAGGAATTGTTTTAGCAAATAGTGGAGTGGAAAGGCTTTCTGCCTCATTTTATACAATATTAACATTTTTGTGGTCCAAACATAATCAGCAAGATCTTCAAGCTTAAAACCCAAAGATCTATGAAACAGTGCACAGTGATGAAACTTTGCCAGCATCTTAAACATGAAGTTGGACAATGGAAATAGTGAGATGTTGAATTTGGCAATTTTTTTTGCCCATGAACCTATGCTCCCATTTGGTCAAATGCCAAGTGGAGATCATCTTTGGTAAAGTAGGCAGAAACCAAGGAAATCATTCAAGAGGGGTCAATAGGTGTAGAATCATGGAATCACACAAGTGCTGCATAGAAGGAAGCTATTCAGCTGATCATGTATGCACTGATTCTACAAATGAGCATCATGACTTGTTGTCATTATCCAGTCTTTTCCTAATTATTCCTACTTAAGTAACCATCCAATACCCTCTGTCTTCCAGCTTTAAGTGCTTGACCCTATCAGGCACTGCTGTAATTTTCAGGAAAGCCTTTTAGGGAGAACCTCTAATTCTTAAAATCTTGGTATTCATATGGGGCAGTGTCTCCAGCGCTGCAAGTTTTGTTGATTTTTGGTCAAAAATCTAGAGTTGACCTAGTAGCCAGTGTGTACCGCAACACATTTCACACTGGAAAGTTTAGCTAGAGGATGTAGTTAGGCCAAGGAAATTCTCTTGAGGTTGGGACCTTTGTAAGATACATTAGATGGTTTATGAAAATTGGAGCCCGAGGTTGGATTTTCAGCAGATTGGCACAAATCAATCCCTGGATCTGCATTCTAAAACATCCAATGTATTTTGACAGATTTCCTAAATCCCTGTGCAGTCCCCAAGTCAGAGATACATAATCAGATCATTAAAACTTCCCCCAGGCTCTCCAATCTCCCCCCACACCTTGCATGCTCCCTAGACTCCACGCAATACCTGAGACCCTGCACACTCTCCTAGGCATTATACATTCCTACAGACCCCACACAATCCCTCAGACTCTGTACTCTCCATTCTAGGCCCCAGGCTTGACACTTTTAACCACATCCTGTACATTGCCCCAGCCCTAACTATTTCAGACTCTAGACACTTCCCCAGACCTGACATATTCCTCCAAACCTAGCCCTCAGCCCAACTTAGACTTTACATACTCCTAAATAGTCTTTGTTAGATTGGGCTAAACTGAAATGAGGGGAAAAAAAACTGTTTTAAAAACCAAGGATTGTTGAAGAATTTCTTCACTTTCTTTTAAAAAAAAACATGTTCCCTGACACATTGTAAATGCTGTCTACACCACTTTTGTTCAAGCTGTTGGTCAAATGGTGACCGGTTATCCACAACAAAGGCTTTCTACCTGCCAACAACTATGTGATTGGCTCCCATATAGCTGAACAGCTTGGGGGCAAGAGTGTTCAGGTCAAAAGCAAACAAACTTCTGGAAGGGGAGGAACTGTTTAGCTCTAGTAAAAAGCATCTCAAACATGAAGATAGCCAGTTTATTTGACCTTATCAGGACTGTGACTTTTAATAAGCCAGAGACATTTATAAGTATGAAAATGTCATCCTATGCTCCCTATAAACAAGAGAAAACACCTGCAGAAGGAAGACTGAGAAGCATCAATCTGATTAGCAAAAGGATCATCTCAACAACCCCTGTGGACAGAGAGCAATAAACTGCATTTCCAGTCCTTTCCTCTGCCTGTGCCTGCTACATGCCTGGGTACAGCAGGAATTCTACAAGTGGGTTAAAGTTTTAATTATTATAGTTGTATGTTGTATTTGTAATAAATAATAATTCTTGTTAAATATAGAAATCTGTTCTGTGCTTTCTTGAGTCCTGGCAATAGTAAGGCAGATAAAATGGGGAATTTGCTGTTCTTCTAAAATTCTTAACTTTTATAATAGTTCTGGGAATGGTTGATTTCTAACAGATTAGTTCAGTTAGTTGTGACAAAGTTTGAGGGCTCATCTGGGATTAATTTGAAACAGACGAGGATTTGGGTATGGTATTTGTAAATAACATAGTAAAGGAGAATACCAGATCTACACTGCATTTAAGACGTGGCCCTTGAAACAAAGGGTTTCCTGCAGGTAATAGATTTGTCTCTGGCAGTGTTAACAGAAGCGCAAAGACCAATGTTAGATCTCAATTTCCAATGAGAGTCCGAGTTGTGGGGTTGTTTCCAGTGACCTTTATTGCAGCTTTCTCCAGAGCAATAAAGGTATACAAAAAGCTTCAGAATGTCTCATACTGTTTGAACTTAGAACGCACATGCCCCTCCTTTGTTTACTATTGGTCAGTGATGACAAGTTATCATTTTGTAATTGGTTCTGGTACAGCACCTTATACAGTTCAAGCTTACCTCAGCAATTTATTTGCTGTCGTGTTAACAGTTTAACTATTGATAGCCCATAACCCAAAAGAAGTACTGCTGCACCCAGCAATTTCAATGTGTTTCCAATTAAGCTAACCATATCACTGAATGACAAAGATGGACAGGCTTGTGGTCCAACCCTGGTTCTCCATGGTGTTACCAGACTTTGCTTATCTCCCTGTACTGATAGGGGGGAAGGGTGCTTTTACCACCCGAGACTGGTTTGAATCTTTTCCTCTAATGGTTTTAGTGATAATTATTTTGTACATAGGTGGACATCCTTTATTCATTCATGGAATGACGGCATTGCTAGCTAGGCCAGCATTTATTGCCGAGAGTGCAGTTATGAGTCAACCACATTGCTGTAGGACTGGAGTCACACATAGGCCAGACCAGTTAAGGATGGCAGTTTCCTTCCCTAAAGGATATTAATGGACCAGGTGGTTTTTTTTCCCCCACAACCGGCAAAGGATTGACAGTCATCGTTAGACCTTTAATTCCAGATATTTATGGAATTCAGATTCCACCAGCTGCGATGGTTGGTTTTGAACCCAAGTCCCCAGAACATTACCTGGGGCTCTGGATTAACAGTCCAGTGATAATACCTAGGCCATTGCCTACCCATGATCTATAGCAACTTCAGAATCTATATCTATGATTATCTGAAAAATAATAATTAAAATCTACTCTTAGTACTGCAACAGAATAATCAAGTAATTCAAGAGCACTAATTAATATGAAATGTTTTTATCTATGTCTTAAACATAAACAACTGCTGCTGCACATTCTATCTTAGCCCACTAGCCTTGGGTCTACAGTGCTACTGTTGTTCTACTAGAGAAGACTGCATTAAGCAAATATTTTCCCAAGTTCTCTAACTGCTGTCAGCTATTTTCTGCTGTATTAGCCATGGGTAGCTTTCGGCCATTTTGTGTTGTTCAGTCATGGGCAGGCTTCACAACCAGGTTGATTGACTTGACTAGTAAACTGGTAGTTGCATTGCCTAGCAAAGCTAGGAAGGGAGAGTTAATTAAGGTGCTAGCATGGTACTTGGGTTTCGAGGACCTACAAAAAGAGATCGCATGCTCTGGGGAGTGAAATTTTAGAATTAGATGATGTTTCATTATGGTTAGAGCTTGAGCTCAAGGATACAATAAAAGCAACTAGGAGCTGGCAGACACAAAGGTAAGGAGAGGGAAATACAATTGAAAATAATGGAAATTAGAAAGCTAGAATTAAAAATAAAAGCAGAAATTGCTGTAAAAGCTCAGGTCTTCCAGCATCTGTGGTGGTGAGAACTGGAGTCATAATTTAATGTCCAGAAAGGAAAGGACATGGAGGCATTCTCCATATCATTTGAGAAAATGACTAGACAAATGAATTGGGGGATAAAAAAGACTGAACATTGCTCATGTAGCACAAGTTGACAGGTTAAGCACAATAAATTTCTGCTTCACGGTCAGGGGAGGTTTCTAGGGATTATGGTACTTGGAAAACTACATTGGCTGCAAGTGAGTTAGAGCCTAGGGCAGATAGACAAAGGTTTCAGAATTTAAGGAAACAGCAGGAACAATCTGATAGAGAATTCAAGGTTAAGCAAAGTAACTTTGACAGTTGTATACCTGTCAAATTCTTGTAATTTTCGACTACTCATCATTTGACACACAAGAATAAAGAAAGAGTGAGGCAAAAGGAGAGGTAGACAGTTCTCCGTGAACCTCTTGTAATTTGCCTAGCTAACACGGAAATACTGGAATAGTTAGACATTGTGTTCTCATATTTATACTTATCAGCCATGACTGAATGGCGGAGCAGACTCAATGGGCTGAAGGGCCTAATTTCTGCTCCTATGTCTTATGGTCTTACTTAGACAAAGGACAACGGGAGGATCTTGTAAGATCACTGAGAAAGTGGAAGGTAACATGTAGAGATAAATCTGGATCTGTTCATTAGCTAGATAAGATGTGGATGTAGTCAGGACCAATTTAAATAATATCTTTATCAGTTGAACCCAGTCAAAGGAACTGGAGTTCATCAATAATGTTAGTTTCAAAGCTGGATGGATTAGCTTGACTCTGTACTGATTTTGGAAAGTTAAATATGGTTGTGAAGACAAGTGTGTACCAATTTTGGTTAGAAAATTGCATGATTATTATGTTGTCTTATTGCTAAGCTTGTACTATTGAAGAGGTACTAGAAAAGGTCCATTGTCATGAAGGGCTAAAAAAAAAAGCCACTTTTGATACTTGAAATGTTGAGTGATGCCATTTGGTTATTTAAAAAAGCCCTAGTTACACTCCAGGGCCTTATCAATTAAATCATAACCAAGTTTCATGACTGTATGGTACATTTGGATGATATTGTGACCATAGGATGTAGGAGCACAAATTGTTG